CTCTTCATTGCTTCAATACGACTCCGTCTCTTCTGCACGGCACCGTTTCTGCTTCTTCTTCTTTTCCTGCTGCAATAAGGATTGCAGCCTTCTTCTTCTTTCCTCCTTTGTTCTTCAACAACAGCAGCAGGCTTCCAGTAAACATTCCAGCTCTGTCATCCCCCCTCAAGTTGGTGGTATCAACTTGATCCCCAACTTGACCAAAAGCTCCTTCAACCTGAACCTGTCCAGACCCTTTGTAAAGATGTCTGCCAGCTGATCATTGGTGCTCACATACTTCAATCTGATCAGTCCATTCTTCACTCTCTCTCTTGTAACATGCATGTCTATCTCGATATGCTTTGTTCTTTCGTGGAACACTGGGTTTTCTGCTATGTGAATAGCAGATCTGTTGTCACAAAACACTGTTATAGGCAAGGAAACCTGTATGGTTAATTCTGTCAGCAACCTTTTCAGCCATTCCACTTCACAGACTAGGTGTGCCAAAGCCCTATACTCTGCTTCTGAGGATGATCTTGAAACCGTGGTCTGCTTCTTTGTCTTCCAGGTTATCAGAGATGATCCAAGCATAGTGCAATACCCTGTGATTGACCTTCGTGTGTCAGGGCAGCTTGCCCAGTCTGAGTCACTGTAGGCTGTCAACTTCAACTCTGCCTCACTGCTGAAGTGAATGCCTTGATCTGGTGAGGATTTCAAGTACCTTAAAACCCTGTATGCTGCCTGCAAGTGTTCCATACATGGTGCCTTTTGATATTGACAAAGCTGTTGAACAGCAAATGCAATATCTGGCCTTGTGATTGTCAGGTAATGCAGTCTCCCTACTAGCCTTCTGTATCCTTCTGCATCTTCTAGTGGAGTTCCCTTGGATGTCAGCCTTACCTTAGTGTCAATAGGTGTCTTGCAACCCTTAGATTCCAAGTAACCTGTGTCCTTGAGAAGTTCCAGGCAATACTTCCTCTGACACACATCCAAACCTTCAGTATTTCTACTGACTTCCAAGCCTAGAAAGTACTTAAGAGGTCCTAGCAGCTTAATCTTGAACTCTTTACTTAAGGCTGCCTTTACCTGCTCAATGTCTTTCCTTGAATCTCCTCCTAGAATTATGTCATCAACATAGACCAGCAGTACAGTAATCTTACCATGAGTCCACTTAGTGAAGAGGGAGTAGTCTGAGGCTGATTGTGAGAAACCAAACTTCAGCAGAAAACCTGTCAACTTAGCAAACCACTGCCTGGATGCCTGCTTGAGGCCATACAGAGACTTCTTCAAACGACATGTCATCTTCTGTTTGCTTCCTGAGGGCACTTCTAGCCCCAGTGGCAACTTCATGTACACAACTTCATCCAATTCTCCATGCAGAAATGCATTGGAGACATCCAACTGCTCCATGATCCAATGTTTGGCACTGGCAACTGCTAAGAAAGTCTTTACAGTATTAATCTTTGCCACAGGTGAGTAGGTGTCTAGGAAATCAATTCCATAGACCTGTGTATATCCCTTTGCTACCAGCCTTGCCTTGTTTCTCTCCAATGATCCATCTGGATTCAGTTTGATCTTATACACCCACTTATTTCCAACCTCTTTTACTCCTGGTGGCAATGGAACAATGTCCCATGTCTGGTTTTCTTCCAGGGCAAACATCTCATCTTTCATTGCCCTATTCCATACATCTGACTTCACAGCTTCATAGTAAGATTTTGGTTCCACATGATTCAGAATACTCATTATATAACTTTGATCTTCTTTACTCAAGGAATGAACATTCAGGCAAACTGGATATCTGCTACAAGACTGTGCATTTCCAAATGCTCCAAACTTGAGTGTAGGGTCAAGTTGATAATCTCCATACCTGCTTGGCAGCTTTAAATTCCTGGAGGACTTCCTGTTCTCAAGTGTTGCTGGATCATCTGGATCAATGTCAACTTGGGGATGCAGCTCCTGTTCATCAGAGTCAAAGTATGTATAATGGTGATCATTTGCAGCTGAATCAATTGCTTCAGAAGGAGACAACTCATGCTCAGTGTTCCCCCCTTCATCTGTGGATGAAATAAACTGAGAAGGAGATGGATCCTTAGAAAAGGTGGTAGGATCAAGAGGAAAGGGAACTTGAAGAGGAGGGGCTGAGGATGGAACTGGTGGTGATGTAGAAGAAGAAGGTGGAGAAGAAATAGAGGGAGGTGATGAATCTGGTATTTTGAAAGGGATGATGGTTTCATAAAAGGTTACATTTCTGGAGAAGAATACTTGTTTGGTTTGGAGATCTAGGACTTTGTAACCTTTTAGACCTGCTGGAATTCCCAGAAACACACACTGTCTGGCCCTTGGGGCAAATTTTGTTCTGCCATGGACTAGGGTGTTGGCATAGCATAAGCAACCAAACACCTTCAAGTGCACTAGGGAAGGCACTTGCTTGTATAAAACCTCAAAAGGTGTTTTGTTTTGAAGAATTGGAGTGGGGATTCTGTTAATTAAGTAAACAGAATGCAAGATAAAATCACTCCAATAAGAAAGTGGTAAACCAGACTGGAACTTAAGGCATCTAGCAACATTTAAAATGTGCTGATGCTTCCTCTCTACTCTCCCATTCTGCTCTGGTGTCTCAACACAGGAGACTTGATGCTCAATTCCTTCTGCTGTGAAAAACTCACACATCTCAAACTCTTTTCCTTGGTCTGTTCTGATAATCTTAACAGTGGTGTGAAATTGGTTCTTTACAAGGTTACAGAACCCCTGAATCAGACCCCTTGTCTCACTCTTATGTCTCATCAAGTAAACCCACACACAACGAGAGTGATCATCCACAATTGTAAGGAAATAAGCAAAGCCATCATAGGAAACAGTAGACAAAGGACCCCAAATATCCATGTGCATTAAATGAAACACCTCAGGTGCAATACTGGTACTAACAGGAAATGGAAGTTTACGTTGTTTGGATAAATGGCAAACATCACAATGGATTGTTTTAGTCTTAGAAACAGATGGGATTACATTGCTAAGAAGACTTTGTCTATCATGACTAGGATGGCCTAATCTCCAATGCCATAGGTTTAGGTCTTGTGGATGGAAGTTGTATGTGGTGGCTGCTTGATGTTGGTGAGCTGGTGAGGTAAGCTGGTTTGGTCTTGAAGAAAGGTTGAGTTGATAGAGTCCTCTAGTGGTGTGGGCTAAACCAATCTTCTTCTGGCTTAAGAGGTCCTGGATTTCACATTTATCAGAGTGGAAAAGTAAGGAATATGGATTGTCATTGGTGAGCTTGCTAACAGATATGAGATTGAAAGAAAATTGAGGGACTAGGAGAACATCAGTGAGGACTAAACCACAGTCTAGGTGTACTGTTCCTACACAAGTAACTGCTACTTTGGTACTGTTGGGAAGGTAAACATAGGAGTCCTGAACAGGTTTGTAGGAGGAAAACATACTTAGACTACAAGCAATATGGTCTGAGGCGCCTGTATCTACAATCCATAGGTTAAGGTTATGAGTTCTATGACTGTGAGAAGAGGACAGGACATGTTTACCTGAAAAACTGGGAAAGGCAGATGGAAAATGAGTGGTTGTATAGGCTTGGTGGTTAATGGATGGAGAGGAAGGTGGTGAGGGTTGTGTGCTAGCACCAGCTTGCAAGAGAAACCTGAGGCGATTCATTTCATCAGGTGTGAATGCAGCAGGAGATTGAGATTTACCTTCATTGACCACACTGCCCTCAGAAGCACTCTCATTTCCACTCCCTTGAGAAATAGAACCAGCAAACCTTGGTGTACTGGAACTCGAGCTAGAACTCGAGTTTGACCCATTGCCACTGCCTTCTTTTTGCATTTCCTGTTTCCTCTTCAATTTCCAACAGTCTTCAATGGTGTGATTGCTCATCTTACAGAACCTACAGAACTTCTTCCCCCTGCCTTCATAGTTTCTACCTTCATTGTTCTCCCTCGAATTGCTACCTCCAACAGCCAATGCCAAGTTTTGACCCTTCTTGTTACCCATAGCCACATCTGCCTTCAACTTCTGTTCATGTTGTAACAGGTCATCCACTGCATTTGAGACTGTGGGTAAGGGTTTCTGCATTAACAGCTGAGTCTTGATCACTTCATACTCAGGGTTTAAGCCACGTAGAAATCGAATGAGATAATCCGTCTCTTGCTTCTGCACAAAGGCAGCCACTGCAGCACATGGCATAGGATTCCCAGGTGCACAGGTACATGGTGTTATAGGACAAAACTCCACATATTCATCCCACAACCCTTTGATAGCAGTATAATACTGATTGATGGTTCGAGACCCTTGTTTGCAGGCCTGGATCTCATCCTCAAGGTTGGTAATCCTTAAGGCATTTGGGAGACCAAAACGCCTTTTCAACTCGTCCCACAGCGTTTTGGAGTTAGTGTGGTTCAATACTGATCGCCTGATCTCCTTTGTCATGGAGTTTTGAAGCCAACACAACACGACTGTGTTACAAGCATCCCATAAGGTAAACAGATCTGCATCTCTAGGAGGAATGGGGATAGACCCATCTATGAAACCCACTTTGTTCTTGGTTTTCAGAACAACTTGGATGGATCTACTCCACATCACATAATTCGTGCCATCGAAAGGCTCAGCAACAATGGATTGAGACATGTTCTCATTTGGGTTAAGATAGTAGGGATTACCAAAGATAACAGTCTCGGTCTGCATCTGGTTTTGGTTGAAGGTACCAAATTGGAATCCAGTAGCAGCTGTCCGTGTTGTTGCTCCTGTTGCTCCACTTCCACCTGAGCCGGGTGGCGTATTCGGAGGAGTCTGGGCTCCTGACATCGCGTCGTTGACGGCGGAAAAACCCTAGAGCTCACTGAGCTCTGATACCATAACGAATTACTTGGATTTGTGTAAGAGGAAGCTCAGGAAAGACTGAGTCCTCTGTTTTCTTTTTATAGCTAGGTAGACGATTACATAAAACAACGACACGTGTCCACAAGCGATAGGATAGAAGTTTAAATAAACAGTAATCTTTTAACGGCTAACTACTACTTAATAAAACGCTGCCGTTCTACTTCACTTCTTCTCTTCATTGCTTCAATACGACTCCGTCTCTTCTGCACGGCACCGTTTCTGCTTCTTCTTCTTTTCCTGCTGCAATAAGGATTGCAGCCTTCTTCTTCTTTCCTCCTTTGTTCTTCAACAACAGCAGCAGGCTTCCAGTAAACATTCCAGCTCTGTCACCATGATCCCATACAAGAATATAACAAAAAGGCCATACTGCCACTCCCATTTCCCATGGGATGGCCACGGCGTTTATAAATAAAATAAGATTAAAAAACCTATCGTCAAGCATCATCATTAGCAACAGCAACCGTTTTGTTCATATCTCGTTATAGTGATTTCAAGATAGATGGCTACAACCAAGCTCTCCTCAACCAAGAAAAAAATGTCATACTTTCAAGCATTATCATATATTAATATTATCACTTGATGACAGATTAATTAATTACTGAAATGAAGAATATTAAATGTTATCAAAACACATAGTCCACATACCAGGATCCCTATCGTGGAATGTAGGATTTAGTGACACTTGTTCGTAGCCAATTGGCCGCCCGGCTTCCTGTCGCAACCAGCAAGTAAAATGGTAAAAAAATATCAACTTAATGGAGACCTCTGTGCAAACAATATACATGGAGCAGCCAGATATGAGATATTCTGTGTATGGTAAATTGCTAGATTCAACTTCTTTCCTTGCCCATATAAATCAACAATAATAAGTTCCAACAGCTAATCAATCATCTCTAGCCTGTAGATTATAGAATACATGGATTCATTATGCTGCACCAAGGCGCACACGTGTATTTTTACTTGCATACATAAAGCATAAACAAACACACAGAGAGTGAAAGAAGAGGCATCTATAAACACTAGTGGGGAGACCACGGAAAATGGTGAGTGGTGTCCACGTCACATGAGTAGTACAAGACATACTATCTCTATATATCTCTAATCCACTATAAAGGCCCCCCATAAAGCCACCATCGTCATTTAAATCCCTGGCTTTGTTATCTTCAACAGTAGGAGTGGCTGCAAATTGCCAAATGCCTAATATCACAGCCACAAATTTATCACTTTGTTTTGCATTTATGTTAATATGGGCACATGATGCCATGTTCCACTTTCAGGAAAACCACCTTCTCCTTCACATTGTTCATAGACCTGTGAAATCCAATTCCCCAATCTCTGAAACTGAAAAGACACATCTGACTATAAACCCATTTCCTGGTATCTCTTCTACCGGTACTCTAGACAGATGTACGGCCAATTGTTAAAGGAGAATCCTGTGAATTTTTAGGGCATGAGTTCACCTTGTTGTACATGGAAGGACTCTGCAATGGATGAGAATTTCCAAACATGCACTAGGAGTAACAAATCTACTGCATGGTTCCTGACTAATGTATGCAGAATCCTTAGAACCTCAAGTACACCCAAGTTGGACAAAGGATACTTCGGAAAAGGAAAACAGATAAAAAGATAATTGCAGATGAGCGTTTCAGGACAATAACTATGCTGCTCTATGCTAAACTGCAGGAGAAACTAAAACGAAAACAACCAGGAAGATAATTGTAAGATTATCATTCTTCACATAAAACCACCAGGAAGACTAATAGTGGTTTATACAACTAACTAACCGTAACCTCACTAACCTACTAAAAGGTTAAAACAATAATAACCCTATTCGTGTATACACGCAACTGTTCCTTTCTACACATTACATGTTGCTACATGGTCTTGAATGGAACAAGATGTTTCCGTGTTAAAGAGGGAAAAGAAAACGACCTGTCCATAATCTCTTTCTTGCGCTGTAAGCAGATTCCTTTATTGCATTCTTTGAATAGAATCATTCTTATACATTGGCGTTCCTCTCATCTGTCGCCATTAGAGTTGGAATGATTAAATGAACCTTGTCTCCTATATATCGTCATTAATTTCAGTATCTTTGTTTTCAGATATCACTCCAGTTTCGATGCAGAAAAGAAAAAATTGAGACGAGCAAAAGGAGAACAGAACCTAAGAATAGGAAAATGGTGATTTGGAAGTGAATAGGCTCGGCAACTTGTACAGCCTCGAGCCTCATTAAGTATTATATCCAGGAAATATAATATCTTACTCCATAATCAATTTTTATTCCAGAGGCGGCCACTAAGATGACAATTGAACAGTTCCTGTTCTATCTCTATTCCCTGCTTTTACAAAATTTGTCCTCTTCTTTCTTTTTCCTATAACTGGACCTATATTTATGTATTTTTCTATTCACTAAAGTCAAGGAATACTCCTACCATTCCCTCAAATTGAACGGGCAGAAAGGAAGTCTAGGAACTTCCATGAGCTTTTATTCCTTTTTATCCAATCATAGTCACTGAGCCAATCCTTATTCTAGTAAATTTTCCTCTTAAGCTCATACTTTGTTGTCACCTTAAGCATTTATCAGGTTGCATTTCTACAAGACAGTGCTTTTCCAAAAAGAGCAAGCAATCACTAATCATAATCAGTAGTATTACAAGTAGGAGTAGACTATTCAAAAGGAACACCAAATTAATATCAAGAATATAGAAAAACATGCAGCGTACCTGGTTACCAAATCGGCAAAACTATTATGTTGTTGTGTAAACAACCGAGGTTCGAAGCAGTATTACAGCAGGCGAAAAATTTACATAGGCGATCATGACAGCACAAAACCAAGATTCATCTTAAAACAAGCAGGCTAGAAAGAACATGCAAAACGTTTCAAATCTTCAACGAGCAAGAAACTTAAAAAGATGAGCTAGCTAATGATAAAAGTTATTTCCACATATCAACTTATTGCTTTGGTTATTTTCACATTATAGTGGCTGGCGTCACAGCTCACAAGCATTAGCTGCCCTATCACATTGAAGTGCACGCGCACTGCAATTGTGCGGTGTGGATTCAATATCAAAATATTGTTGTTTTTTAATTTGGCAAGAGATAATTCGCAGTGTTTGTCCACTACCCAGAAATTGGCATATATAAATGTCCCCCCCGGCGTGCTCCTAAAGTGCCAAGCTTCAGCTAAGAGTAAGAAAAAGGTGCAGAGAGACAGAGTAGGAAGGCAACAGAGAGTAGGGAAAAGAAAAGGAAGAAGATGATTCAAGACGAAACCCGGAAGGGTCCTTGGACAGAACAGGAGGACATCCTCCTGAACAACTTTGTGCACTTGTTTGGAGATCGACGATGGGATTTTATTGCTAAAGTTTCAGGTTTGAAGGTGGCGGGAGACGCGTAATAGGTACGGTAATCTGGGGATGGTTGGCCTCCCAAATGGCCTACCTTTAACAACCTGGCTGTTATAATTTCGTTGTAGGTTTGAACAGAACAGGAAAGAGTTGCAGGTTGCGATGGGTTAACTATCTCCATCCTGGACTCAAGAGGGGAAAGATGACCCCTCAAGAAGAGAAACTTGTGGTGGAACTTCACGCCAAATGGGGAAACAGGTATGACAAAATAATGATTCATAAGCAACTAATCATCTTATGATCCTTTTTGTAGGTTCAGAACTTACAGAATTCTAAACTGAAACCAATTTTATCTTATGAAGATGGTCAAGAATTGCTCGCAAATTACCAGGGCGAACTGATAACGAGATCAAGAACTACTGGAGGACTCATATGAGGAAGAAGGCTCAAGAGAGGAAAAGGGCTGCTGCTACTATGTCTTCTCCATCATCATCGTCATCATCTAATCATTCCTCTTCTTCCAACACTACTACTATGTACTCATCACCTTTCCCAGAGGGCGGAGAAGAGCAGCCTAGCTTCTACGACACTGGAGGGAACCATGTGGCAGCGGCAGTAGCTACAACTGGCAAAACTAACGATCTAATGCAGGTAGGTGACAAAGGATACTCTATGGATGACATATGGAAAGACATCGAGGGCACAATATTTGAACCAGTAGTTTCTGAAGGCTTAACTCAAGAAGGCTGCAATTTCTCTGGCCCGCCTTCACTGGTTTCTCCAGACTGGGACTACTGCACTAATGACACACTCTGGAAGCTGGATGATGAAGAGGAGAGTAAAATGTTTCTTCCCTATGACTACGGAACCGCGTTTTTAACTGGCTAGTATAAAGGAAATTCTTTATTCAGATTTTTGTTCATACTACTGTGATATGTCTGCGAGGAAGCTCTAACCTGTATAGCAAGGGGGTTTTCTTTTAAGCTTTTACTTCTTTTCCTAATGTGTGGCCATCTTAATGCATAAGCAATAGAGCTATGTCCTTGTGTCTTTTTAGTGTTATGCTCAATCCTCAGAAGTAGAAAGAGAGATAGGCATGCTACATCTCCCTTGAGGAGAGTGTTTTATGTTCAAGAATGTGTAATAGAAGACTAAGAGTACTATCAATAAGTTTCAATCAAGCTATAGTTTTTGCATGATAATTGTCCATATTCAAAGAATAGAAATGCACAGTTGTAGCAAGGAACGAAAACACAGTAAGCAGAGCAGATGAGCACAATATGGATTAACTTATTCTTTGTCCTTCCAAAAAAAATATGGATTAACTTATGCTTTTGTGCATTTTGTGGAGAAATTTATGCCTGGTATTGTTCAGTCTTGCTACTCTGATCACAAGAGTTCATGCAAAGGCTCATAAGAAGTTGATTAAGATTGTGAAGGAGAAACAAGTCATGATGGACAGATGAGTAGGCAATGTGTCAATGTGAGAAATTTGGTAAAGTTATCTTTTAGTTAGTAGGAAGGTCCGAGACTATATTAAAAAGATCAAAATGGAAAGCTATCTTAAAAAGATCAAGATGGAAAGCTGATAGAGGATGAATGAGAAGTGCTCCATTGCTCAACTTTCAAGGACTAGCTCACATGGTCGATCTTTGGCCTAATCTTAAAGGTCTTTACTTTGCTCTAAGATGCCTACTAATATGTTCTTGAAATACTAAATAGCTTAGTGGCTGGCTGAGCCCTCAATTCCATTATCATGTTTTGTTTGGCAAAGTTAGTCATCTTAGCTCAATAGAAAAAGCCATACATGAAACAACTATAATAACAAGAGAAATTGAACACTACTACGTTTTATTTCATCATGCATGATTCAGCAAGCATACTCTAACTAAACTGGGCCAGGAAAACCACTCAGGGTCACCAAAATACCTCTCCAGTCCCCTCTAGTGACTGAGAAAAGAAAAATAGGACAATGGTCCAAAGGGAAGGTTTAATATCTTCTACCAGTAATATCAAAATCTGGTTTCAAATTAATGCCAAGAAGTTGGCTTAATGGTTATGGTAAGTTCGAGACTTGGATCAACAATCATCTAGAAGCAGAATTGGCTTGCACACACTTTCACCAAACCAGTATTACTTAGTTGTCCTAACTCCAACGTCGGCTGTACAAAGAGCAAGCTACGGATTTAAAATTGTGGGCATATATTAGTTTACTTGACTACTGTTTGACAAGTGATCGCTACGTGCTTCAAAGATCCTATCCTCCCGGAATAAAAAGAAGCAGAACAGAAGAAACAAAGGAAAACCTATGGTCTGTCTTCAATATCTAAAGTCCAGTGGGAGGACTAATTATCATCCAAAACCCTCAAGCAAACGACCCGCTAGTGATTTTGCTTTCTTGTCCGAAAACCCTAACAATCTAAGTCGTCAAAAAGCTAACCTACAAGCATCGTTCAAACCTCCATGTCAATACATTTACTGATCTAATGAGAGGCAACCCCAACAATAGCTCGTAATGGAACTACAACGAAGAAAAGTTTCGAGAAACTAAAACCAGCGGAAAGAGCAATTCCCCAACGAAGTGACTCCACAATCCAAAACCATCCCTTGATCCCCTTCAACACCAGACCACTACCTTCTTGCAGCAAGAAAACAATGGCTGGTATTCGCAATCGAGAATGAAGCCACAGCATTGGAGTCACAGCCACAACCAAAGCAATTAGCTTAGCATAAGGATCTCCAGAGATTATCTAACTCAATCAAGAGTAAAACCCACCTATGCTGGTACCCATCACGTGAGAACTTAGCACACTGACCTAACAATCGCAACCCTAACCCCCTATATTCAGTGGGAGTGATCACTAACCTTGATCTATGTGTGCATGTCCGCATTGGCTTAAGAGCCACAGCACAGATCCTTCAACGGCAGTCAATTTCGTATCTGCAACGACAAAGAAAGCAACATAAGTATGAGCATAACGCAAGGACTAAGATCCACGAAATCCAGAACAGCGAGATTGCCAATGGTTCTTACTCCGCCACTGGAAATAGGAAGATGACGATAATAGAGCTGAAGATGCGACACTTCCCTGCTGCTCTCTACGTGCAGTGATTGAAAAAACTGAAAAGCGAGCAAATGTCGTGAGGAGGGAGTAATAGGATAGGGATTTCAGATTATGAGGCGGAAGGAGAAGGAGGACGAACAGAACTTACTCCGATTTCGAAAATTCAAGCGATTTCCCGCCGTCTCCGTTTCTTCACAAGTTGAAAACTTTTTTTTTTTTTTTTATACCCAGGAACCTCAGCCCCACGTGTCACTTTGTGACAGCGGGTCCTACTAAACCTGGGGGCCACCTGCATTTAATTTGACGCCAACGGGGCTTCGCCCCCAGCAGCCTTGTACCTCCGGGAACACCAACGGGCCTCGCTTGGATTCGAACCTGGGATCTGCAACTCCCAAGCCTTCACTGTTGCGGCAGCTTTACCGTTAGGCTATCTTACCTTTGGTCAAGTTGAAAACTTAAAATTAAGTGGTGGTTTGGATAACAGGATTTAGGAAATGGATTAAAGTGAATTGGTAAATTTTATAGAAAATTATGTTTTTTTTTTTTCTTTTTCTATTATAAATTTTAGCATTAGATATTTCAAATCTCTAAAATCTATGGATATCAAATCTCTTATAATCAAAGAGATTCTATATATTGATTCGTGAGATTTTTTCCTCCTATTTTTTCTCTTTTTTAATTTATTTATTATATTAAATATTTTTATCAACAAAGTTTTTAATATTTCTTGAACCACTCTATTTTTTATTAAGGATAAACATGTTATTTAATATAAAATTAAATTTTTTTTATCTTAATTGAATGTTAACAATCATCGTTACCAAACAATAAACATTTTAAAATTTATTTTCAACAATCCGAAGAGTTAGAATCTTTATATTGTTGACAATCTATAGATTTAAATTGATATTCTCCAAATAACCCCTAAGATTGTGTTTGTTACATCATGAATTTAAATAAAACAAAAACAAAATTCTCAGTAACAAAAAATTCAACAAGAGTCATTGATAGGATATTAAATAAAACATAAAGAACAAAATTTGATTTTTTTTCAAATAGTTTTTACTTTTTTATGATACAAAATGAATTTGTTCATTGATAACAATACATACTGAACTTGTACTAAAAGTCTAAAATATAAAAGTATGAATTCTCTTATGATACAAATTGAGCGTATACATTTAATGTTATAATACAAATTTAACTTGTAACTCGAAACACTAATATTTTAAAGTATAGTAAAATGACTCCCTAAATAGATATTCTTCGTCAATATGAAAAATGAAATTGAAACAAAATAATGCTAAAATTGGCATTAAATGCTAGCATTAGCTCAACCAATATGATACTATCATTTCTTAAACTTTTTTATTTTAAAAGGATTAGCAATAATTAATGCAGATTTCTAAATGGAGGGGCATATTGGTCATTTTTAAAAATTATAAGGGGATGCCCTCATCATAAGTATCATGAAGTAGACCGTAAAACACATATCTGAACACAACAAACCACGCCACAAATAATATAAAGGGGTTATTTGGATCATGAAATTTATAATGAGTGATTTGAGGCTCAAATATCTCATTAAAAACCTTGGGGTCGTTTGAATCCATAAATGTGATCTGAGATATTTCGGGCCCAATTTCCTTATTAAAAATCCCCATGAATTTAAAGTGTCAATTTTTAGCAATTATTTTGTTTGTTTATGGTCGCAGGATTTCTTAGCCAGCAATTTATTTTTTCACAGAAAATGGCAAAATACAACTTTACCCTTTTGTACTCCTCTTCTTCGTATGTACCAATCTTCTTCCCTAACCCCTTCTTTCTCCTACCTTTCTCATGTTGCTCCTCTAATCGTTTGGTGCCTCCAATCGTATCTCCATAGCAATCTCTTCCTTTTGCCTCCCCTAATCTGAACCCTAATTTTATCGAACCCTAAACCCAGAACTATTGCATGCCGATTTGCAACTTGCCAGCCTTGAAGAACCCCAAATCCGGATCGACTTCTTCTCTCTCTGGAGCTTGCTACATGCCTCGAAGAACCCTCCCATCGGCTGGAATTAGACGAATCGTTAGAGGTAGACGCATTGCTAGAGGAGTTGACAGTGCAGTAGTCCTCAAAGTCTTCTAGAACCCCCAAAAGCCGGAATGAATGCCGAAGATGGTGTAGAGACCATAGAACCCCTCTGCTTTGAAGCCCAAAGCTTCGATTGAAGAAGAGGAACGAAGAAACCCAAACCCATAACAAAGTATGGCAACTACAGGAGTAAGAAGCATCGTCGTCCCGCCTTTTTGACTCTTCGGAGGAGCAGAGACATGGATGGTCGATTGTTCAACTAGTGATGTTCGTGAAGAGTGGATTAGGGAAGAGGGAAGGAGGTGAAGGATAAGATTGGAAGATACAAAAAAGGAAACCATAGATTTTGAAATAGTTGTGGAGGTAATCAGCTATTTTGAAATCCCTAATGAGCAAAATTTCAAAATCTATGATGATTAAAATACCTTAATTTTTGGAGCCTTTCCAAATGCATAAATATGAAGAAATCCTAGAAGAATAGGAATTCTGAAAGAATCTCTGCCTAAACTTCCTAATCCAAACGACCTCTTGGAGATTTTAGGTGATGGGTTTAGCCCACTTCTGTTTTGGGAATGAATCAGAAATTTAGCCCAATTTAACTCATTTACACATTTACCCCTCTCTTCTTCATCATTCCTTCTTCTCATCTCATCTTCTCCGACGCTTCATCTCCTTCTTGGATCTCTTGTGAGATTGAGAGCCCGAGAGAGAAAAGACTAGCCTAATGTCACCTGTAGATAGGGTTGTTAATGAACCAAACCGCTCATGAACGGCTCGACGTCCGACTCGAGAAAAACTCGTTTGAGACTCGATTCATTTTAATCGAGCCGGCTCGCGAATAAGCTCATTAACTAAACCAGCCGAACTCGAGCCATACCATGTTCAGCTCAAATGCTCGCGAACAAACTCATTTAACGGTTTGGCATTAGAAAGGATTGGAATTCATGAATTTTATGTATTAAAATTGGGATAAATATTGTGTTTTGTTTTGCTAGATTTTGCTGCAGATTTGAATGCAATTTTGTGCTCAGTTATAGCTCAATCTTGAGCTATAATGAACATTTTATGTGTTGAACTCGATTATGGGCTCGTTAGGCTTATTTGGCGAGCCGAGCTCGAGCTTTAATTTTCCTAAACGAGTCTATCTCGAGCTTGCATATTAAAGCTCGTGATGAACACGAGCCGAGCTCGAGTTTGGAAATATATTAACGAGTCGAGCCCGAGCTATGGCAAAGTTCGGCTCGGCTCGGCTCGACTCATTAACAGCCCTACCTGTAGACCATAGATGTGTTTTCGCCACTTGAGCATGGATAGGAGAGTGGTAGGTCATCGTGCCAAGGTGTTGCCGAGATGAGCGCCATGAGAAAATTGTAATTCGCAAAGGAATTAGGGATGTAGAAGTTTAGAAAATACAATAAATTTGTTTAGTGTAATTGATAATAATTTTTGTTCTTATCTAAAGAGACTTTGTTCAAATTCTGTGGTTGTTGTGTTTTTTCTAGGGTAAATACAATCTAATAGTCGAACCTTTCGTTTTAAACAATATAATAGCCAAATGTTTTCGAAAAAAATTTAATAGTCAAATCGTCAACTACTTTCCGTCCAATTGACCGTTAGTTGACTCTGACATGGTAGTTTAATTGCTTAGTTGGATGTCAATTGGTGGCGTGAAAAAGAGTCTACCATTTGAATGTGTCACATGGATATTTATTAATTTATTTAATTAGTATTTTGAAAAAATAAAATAAAGAAAAATCACTTTCCGGCCAATTGGTGAGGCTCAAAGCTAGTAAAGAATAAACCATTTCTATTAACCCTGGTTCCTTCTGTTTTAGCAACAACAAAAAATCCCTGTTGTTTTCCTCCGACGGAGCATCACCTAAACCGCCTTCCCTTCGGTAAATCCTCACGACAAATCCCTCCCAACAATAAGGGGTCACCCCTGCAACCGACAACCTCTTCCAATTGTCCTACCAACAACCCCCGCTTCTGGCTAGGGATGCTAATTCCGAACAACAAACGAGAGACGACGATTCGATTATGAGATTTGGCACCTCCTTGAGCAAAAATTGGACAGGGATCGAAGATCTTGAAATCGCAACTCGGTGAGGACAATCGGTAACCAGTTCGCCACCGCTAGCCCATTCCCTGCGAAATGGGGTGTTGGTGCTGATAATAATGACGATTAGGTTTGGGTGTAGTGGAGGTGGAAGGAGAGGCACGGGAAGGCCAGGGAAAAAGCCCCTATTTCAAAGCTTCATCGCCGTACAAACCATTTTATCTCCGCCCTCGTTGGAGTCGGCGGCGTCTTCCTTGCTCGCCCTCTCCCTAGCCGATGTCGGATTCTTCGCCTCTCCGTTGGTGGCACCGTCGTCGCACTGGAGGCTGATTTTTTTCAAGTCGCTACTGCATTTGAAAGAACAGGAGGAGCTTCCCTTCGAAGAAGAGCTCGTCGTCGGTCAACATCTCGGCGTGCCCTGCCGTCGCCGGCCCGATGTTGGATAGGAACTCCGCAACGGTTCAAATGGGAGACGGTTGCGGTTTCTGGTTGTCCGTCTCGCGGGGGTGGTGGTGGTCGGTGCTGATGGAGATGAAGTTGTTCTCGTGAAGGAATTCGGAGGAGAATGAGATTCTAGAGCTTGATCTCGTTTGATCCATGGCGGTGGATCTATTCTCTGTTGGTTGATTTGTTTCCAGACAAACCTTTTTTTCTTTTGTAAGAAATTATTTGGCAGGGGGAAGAAGGGAGGAAGGAGCATATGAAGGGGATTATAAGATCTTCCCCATTTTAAATATAAAATTAATTTCTAATATTTATTTGTTGCCACATCAGCAAAAATCAACTGACGTGTATGGTAAATTGCCACATCAGAGTCAATTAACGGTCAACGGAATAAAGAGTTGACGGTTTGACTATTAAATAGTTTTCGAAAAGATTTAGCTATTATATTGTTTAAAACAAACGGTTTGTCTATTAAATTGTATTTATCCTTTTTCTATGAATAAGAAATAAGTAAATAACTATGAAGATAAATCTACCTTCGTATTTTCGTTGAAGGAAATTAAA